GAAGTCTGTGCTGTCACTCAGGCTAGAGTGTAGTGGCACAATCTTGGCTCACTGCAACCTCTGCCTCTCAGGTTCAAGTGATCCTCCCATTTGATCCTCCCTCTCAAGTAGCTGGGATTACAAGCATGCACCACTACACTCGGCTGATTTTTGCATTTTTAGTAGAGATGGGGTTTCACCATGTTGGCCAGGCTGGTCTTCAATTCCTGACCTTAAGTTATATGACCACCTCAGCCTCCCACAGTGCTGAGATTACAGGTGTGAGCCATCATGCCTGGCCCATATTTTACATTACAGTAAATAATGTTCTAGAAACATGGATTGATCTGTAGATAATAAAACTATCTTTGTCCAGAATTACTGTTGCCATTATGCAGTCTGTCAGTGTTTTCTGATTAGTGCTATTGCCAAAAGGGAATGATAAACAGGAGCTACATTAGACAGGAGCAAATTAGCAAATTCAGCCATCATTAAAATTTCATTCAAGTTGAAACTTTGGAGAAATGCATATTGGTAGGATGTTTACAGGAGTGACTTGTTTCTTCTGCTGAAGGAGAATGTTTAAAAGCTCTAGAAAGAAACAGCTATCATCTGGAGGGTATTGGTGTCCCTTTATCATGGTGTAATGCTCCAAGAGAATGCTTGCTCCTTTTCTCTTGCTGCCCTACTGGGGTAGTAGAACCTTAGCTCCCTGCAAATGGGGCAGTAGAATGTGAGAAGAAGAAGGCAGATAAAACAGCCTTCTACCCGACTAACTCCCCTCACTGGACCAGTGCAGTAGCCTTTTACATGCCTTCCCTGGACTGCCTCCAGTGCCTTTCAAAACAAAATCTTAACTTCTATTTTAGAGAAGATGGAGTATATTTCTGTACTTCTGCCAAACAACCACCAAAAACTCTGAATGTCATATATAAAACAAATGTAAGAAGATTTTTAAAGGTGAAAAGAAGGCAGACCACCTAGGGACCTAGGGACTCAAGGTATAACAAGGTGGTAGGCTCCCTGGCTTATGTTTTTGTTCCATATATCCCAGAGTTGGAGAGAAAGAGGCTGACAACCCAGAAATAACAATGTGCACATACAAATAAAGCCCTAACAAAAGCCTACTCTCTCTTGCCAAAAGACCAGAAAAAGAGCAAACAGAATTCAGCAACATATATAATAATATATTTTGACCAAGTGAGGTTTATTCCAGGCTGGCTCAGTAGTTGAAAATGAAGCTATTTAATCCATTGTATTAACAGGCTAAATAAAAAATCCTTGATCATAACAATCAATGGATACAGGAAGAGTCTGGCAAACTTCTTGAATGATCTTAAAAACTATTAGAAAAATGGGAATAGAGGAGAATTTCCTCAACGTAATAAAGAACATCTACAAAAACCTGTACACATAACATTATACTGGTTGAGCCTGGTGGCTCACTCTTGCAATTCCAGTGGTTCAGGGGGCAAGAGGATTGCTTGAGGCTAGGTGTTTGAGACTAGCCTAGTCAACAGAGCAATATCTTGTCTCAAAAAAAATTTTTTAACAGTACTTTTAAATACGATTATAGTGGCAGGTGCATGTAGTCCTGGCTACTTGGGAGGCTGAGGTGGGAAGATCGCTAGAGCCCAGGAGTTTGGTGCTGTAGTGAGCTATGATCATACCCCTGTACTCCAACTTGGCCAACAGTGCAAGACTCTGTCTCTTAAAAAGAATTCCAGCAAGTTTTAAAAATAGATATAGGCAACACTATTCTACAATGTGTATAGAAAAGCAGGCCAGGAGCAGTGGCTCATGCCTGTAATCTCAGCTCTTTGGGAGGCTGAGGCGGGTGGATCATGAAGTCAGGAGTTAGAGGCCAGCCTGGCCAATATGGTGAAACCTCATCTCTACTAAAAATACAAAAGTTGCCTGGGCGTGGTGGCCTACTTCCGTAGTCCCAGCTGCTCGGGAGACTGAGGCGGGGGAATCACTTGAACCTGGGAGGCAGAGGTTGCAGTGAGCCAAGATTCAGCCTGGGCAACAGAGTGAGACTCTGTCTCAAAAAAAAAAAAAAAAAAAATAGCAAAGGAACCAGAATAGCTAAAACAATTTTGAAAAGGAAGACTAATGTGAAAGATACCAGTTTACTTGGTTTCAGGGGTTTCAAGACTTATTATACAGCTATTATAGTCAAAGCTATATGGTATTGGTGGAAGAATAACACATAGATCCATGGAACAGAACAGAAAACCCAGAAATTGATACACACAAATATATGCAACTGATGTTTTGACACAGATGTAAAAGAAATTCAATGGAAGGAAGACAGCTTTTTCAATAAATGGTGTTGAGCAATCCTTAAGGTTAAAAAGTGAGCCTCAACTGAAGATTTATACCATATACAAAAATTAACTCAAAATAACTCATGAACTTAAATGGTAAACATTAAAACTATGAAACTTTTAGTAAGAAAAAACTTCACGATACAGAACTCAGCAAAGATGACTTAGACTTGACACCAAAAGCATGGCCCATAAAAGGAATACCTGGAGGCCAAGGTGGGCGGATCACCTGAGATCGGGAGTTCTAGACCAGCCTGACCAACATGGAGAAACCCTGTATCTACTAAAAACACAAAAAATTAGCCTGGCATGGTGGTGAATGCCTGTAATCCCAGCTACTTGTGAGGCTGAGGCAGGAGAATCACTTGAACCTGGGAGGCGGGGAGGTTGCGGTGAGCTGAGATCACACCCATTGCACTGCAGCCTGGGCAACAAGAGCATAACTCCATCTCAAAAAA